AGAATATACTCTAAACAAAATAATGAAAACAACACACGCACACTAGATAAACATAACATGAAGCTTGCTAGTCCAGCAGCAAGCACAGTTATGAGCACCATTTGGCTTCCTGGGTAACTGCTACTCTGGGCTGTCCACAGTGTCAGGCACACTGGGAGCTCCACGTAACAGACAGGCAATGGGTTCCATCCATATTTGATGGCTCCAAGGCTCCGTCTTTGACCCGAAGTCTTCAAGGACCTTTTTGACACAGATGTCTTTGCCATGGAACCCTTGAAGTTCAAAGGGGGAGTCTCTCAACATTGACCAGATTCTCACTTTGTCAAAATGAAAATGTGACGTCTGTCAGTGTGATTCATCACTTCTTTCGTTGTAACAGTGCAAATCAAAGTTATTTTGTCTTTTCTTTTGGAAGTCCATTTTGTGCTCGCTTCCCATTTTCAAGTGCTTCGGAGTACCATGTGCTTTGGGGAAGTGGATAAGGGAGCCTGTCTGTCCTCGAGAGCCAGCTCCACAGATTCTGCTGCAGTGCATGGCTGGTCTGCAGGGTTTAGCTTTCAATGTGAATCATCGCTGGTCTCTCCAGAGGCAAGAGGGAACAGCCTGGCCCTCGGGTGTTGGGGAGGGTGTCTAGATCAGCTCTTCCTCGTGCATGACTTGCAGCACTGTTGACCATAAAATTTGTGGTTGCAGACACCATGTTGAGGAACTAGGTGACACCAGCTGAAGAAATCTACACAGGATGGATCCTCTGCAGTGAGAGAAAAAATATTTCACCCCTTAGGAGGAAGCTTAGCCTTTTTCTTAAGGTGAGAGCCTCCGGGTCAAAGACCTTGAATGCACCTGCCTTGTGCCTCTGAGTTGTTCTGCTCCTTACACACTAGGACTTTGTTGGGAGGGTTGGGGATGCAGGATTAAGACATCAAAAGGGATTAAGATCCTTAGCTAAATGTTAAAGGGAGGGGGGAAAGTGGATGTTAAAAGAAAATGTCAGATCCAGCCAGAGATTCATGTCTGATCCTCCCGATAGCCTGGGAGCCACCATCTTCCTCCCCTAGCATAGCATGCGAGGAGTCCCGTGGGGAATCTTGATAAACCACTGCTTCTGATTCAGAGGGTCTGGAGTGAGAGCTAAGGTGCTGTTGCTGCTGCTTGGTCCACGGAACCTTACTTTGGGGAACAGGAGACCCAAGATATCGGGAGTCAGCACCCCTGCATTTGATGCCCAGCTGCAATACTCCAGGTCGATTTAAATAAATCTCCTAGCCAATTTGCAACTGAGTGAATTTAAGTCAACACCAGTCCTGACTTCTTTTGTTGACAGATGGGATTATGGACCGGAAGCAGAACATTGTACATCAGGGATTCTCACCCAGAAGGGCCTCACTAGACAGAGAAGGCATGTGAAATTGTATGTAAGATTTTCTTTATAAAAACCTCAGTGCACATTTTAGGAGTCAGGGCCTTAGCCATTTTACTGGAATCTCAAGGAATTTTGACTTCAAAAGTAATTTATGGTCTACCCTCCACATGAATAAGTCTTCTCATTCATGGTGGGAAGTGTTTTCCCCTTCCTCTATGCAAGGCTCAAAAGTCACTTTACCTTCACTTTGCCCAACGCCCCCTATGGCCCACAGGCACCCCACCCACCCCCTTCCAAAATTATCCTTAAGTAGCTCTGCTCTGTGCCCTTGGACATGGCATGCCAGGCTCTCAGCTCTCCTATCGATTTGAATCCTGCCTCTTTGTGATTCAGAATTGCCTGCAGTTCCTTCCCCTGCCTTGGTTCTTCCGCCTAAAATACAGCGCCCCACCCATCTCATAGTACCCCCACTGATCCTTTGAACAGATAAGCCAGTTCATGTCATGTCTCAGCCCCAAACTCTCCCTTTGGCCCCTCCATCCACCCAGAGTGAAAGGGTTAGTCCTTACAGAGGCCGACAAGGCCCTAGGATCTGGTTCCCCCACTTCTGTTTGACCTCATCTTCCTCCTCTCATCCCCTCCCCCACATGGGACCCCTGGCAGATGCCCTACCATGCCAGGCATACTGTAGCTTCCCCCAGACATCCAGATCCCTTCTTTTAAGTCTCTGCTCGAAGGTCACTGAGAGTAGGGCCTTCCCACACTCCCCCATACAAGCAGTGTGCTCTGTGGCCTCCCAGAAAACACTCCCTGCTCCCTACTCTCCACCTTGCTTTATTCTTCTACCTTGGGTCTATCAGCACTCATCCTATTCTGTGCTGCCTACTGTCTGGCTCCTCTCTAGAATGGAAAATCCTTGAGAGCAGAGGTTTCGCCTACTGTTTTCAGGCTTAATGCCTGTCACAAAGTAGCTGCTCAAGAAATATTTGTTGAAAAAATAAGTTTCCCTGGAACCCTCATGGCTGAAACAACCAATATGAAACCTACAACGTCTCAACTTGGGTAGAAAGGTGAACTAAGATCATTCTTTTTTCTTTTCAATAACTCCTGGATATAGTCTAGAGAACTTTCTAACAGGTTGGTAAAGGTATGAGAGAGAAAAGAAAAATCAGTAAGGATGATCAGCTTTTTGCCCCGAGCATCTAGAAGAAGGTGTACTGATGTGGCCCATCATGGGGGTAGGGGTGGGGCCCCAGGAGAAGATACAAGTCAGACGTGAGATGAACACCCGTCTAAACTGTTTGCCTATGTATCTATATATCTATATTTTCATCTTCAATTATTTTTTATACTTGTACAGTGTCTTCTATCCCAGCCAATTAGCACGTAGCCTAATCAATCAGATTGTACGTCTGAATCAGTTTCTATTTAAATTGCAGGGATTATCCTATTGATGCAGTGGAAATACTGCATCAGGATAAAAACAGATCACTAAAGCCATGGTCCGAACTGGGCTGCTCTATCAACACTTACTCCTTTTGCGTTAAGAATGGGATTTCAGCTGGCTTCTGCAGCTTCTGCTATGAGCAAACTTTAAGTCAGGAAGGAGAAGGGAGGTGTATCACTGTGCCATCAAGATGAGCACTGTGTTTGGGTATGGTTATTCTAATGATTACTAATGGCTGGTGATTTGAGCGTCTGTCGTCAGTCGTGTATTTTAGGTGCGCGATTGAGGGTGACCTTGGTGTCCTCTTTGTTTGCCTCACATCCTGCGTGCAAACACATGACAAATATTATACACGAGCTCAACTTTCAGAATATACCAGCACCCAGCCTCTCCCACTATGGCCGCTGCTCTGAAGGGAACCTCCTCCCAACCAAGAAGGGACAAATCCTCCTGCCGCTCTGGGCCCCTACACTCTTCTCTGTGTAACTGCCGGGGATCTTCCCACAAGTCCAATCCCACTGCCCCTCTGCTCCAAGCTCTCCATCAGCTTCCAGATTCCAGCACTCAGAGTTAAATCTTACGTCCTTACAAAGACTGAAAACGGCTCCAGGACCAGCTGCAGCTAATCACCTAACCCCTGTCCCCTTTAGACATCTGACTCCAGGGGTCTTGCTGTTCCTTGATCAGATTCACACATTCCCACCTCAGGGTCTTTGCATGTGCTGTTGCCCCTGCCAGGAACACTCTCCTTCGAGATACATACACACAGCTCACCTTCCTTTAGGTCATCTTTAGGTCCCTGTTGAAATATCACATCACCCTTGCCTGACTAGTCTACCTGAACCAGTTTTCCCACCCCTGTCTTCATCCCTCATTCTCATTCTCTATACCCTGCTTTGGTTTTATTTTCTACTTTATTATCTGACATTGTATGTTTATTGATTGGCTTCTTTGTTTCCAGATATAAAGTGGAAACTTTGTGCATTTTGTTCACTATTCTATCTACAATCAGACACCAGAACAGTTCCTAGTTCACGGTAAGTACTAAATGTGGAAAAACTGAAGCATCTTACTTAGCTCTCAATGACCTTTTCAGGTAAGCATTATTTCTCCATTTTATAAATAGTTTAAAAGCGTGCCCATGGCCGCAAACCAGTAAATGGTAGCGTGTGGACTCAAATCCTTTTGGTGACGTCAGAGCGCTTGCTCCTCCCGCTGTACAATACTGCCCATCCCGCCCCCTCTCCATGTGAGGATGTGAGATTCCATGAGGAGTAAACTTAACTCACACTGGGTGCTGCTTATCCCCCACTGAATCCCACTAGGCTGCAACCCAGGCTTCTTTGCGACTATGTCAACAACCAGTCACAATACAGTGATGAGCGATGTCACTGCCCGAGGCCTCCCTCTATTCTGAAGAAGGTTTACACATAAAATATGCACAATGCCGGCTCATAGGATGTTCTCCCAAAGTGGAGATCCGATGAAGACCCAGGTAAAGCATCCCACAGTGATGATGGCATCAAGTGAGGGCCCTAGACTGGTTTCCAGCATGGGTGGGGGTCTGAGGGATGGCACACCCACGTGGCTGTCCTGCAGGACAGGATGATGCCAATCTGGGCAGAACTGTCTTCTTTGAGCTCTTGGACAGGAAGATGGTGCCTCAAAAGCCTGGCCATGGGCCAATCACGGGAGTCTCAGAACATTCCAAGAGCTCCTCCCTAAGGCACCAGGGGTTTGCTTATTGCCCACTAATGCTTGTAGAAACCCCAGTCTTAGAAAACACACTCCAATTCCACCTGTGGTCACCCTGCCAATGATCTAAGAAGGGAGACTAAGCCAGCAGTAATTTGGGCAGGCCACTCCCCCTGCATTTGGGATGGGAACGGAAGAAGCGGGAGGAGGCCTCCAACTTGTAAAAACCATAGACCCCATTTTGGCCAAGAAGAAATACGCAGGCTTGTCTTTCATATCTGCCTTACTTTACTCCTCTTCATAAACGAGACCTTACTCAAGAGGCATGGAAAGACATCCTTCTTCTAATAACCCTTTCTCATACCACCGTCTTTCACTGGCCCCCTCCCTGCAACCCATGGAGAACTGACCTCCATTATAACCCTGGTAACACTCCACCACTCATATCTGTTGTCGTATCTTCCTCCTCCTCTGGGACACTGACTCCTTGTAGCTTAAGAAAAGGATATTGCCTTGTTCTTTTATCTCTAGAAGAATGCTAGGGATATACAGCAGGTGCTTAGTGACCTGGCTTTGAAGGAAGTAAAGAACCTCAAGGTACTTCACACACAGTCTTCCACTTAACACGTATTGAGCATCTACGGTGTGCCAGGCGGGGTGCTGGATGAACAAAATAGTAACACCAAGGGGCCTCCCCTCCCCATTTTGGATCTAACATGTGTCTTGGCTCTCCCCACCTAGCGCTCCTACCCAGGAGATACAGCTGAGCAATTTTCATGGTCGGCCATTGTCCTTAAGCCTGTCTCAAAGTACCTAGGGGGACTGTACTTCTGATTCTTGGCATGTGTGGGTTTGTCTGGGGCCATCTGACTGAAGGGGGGAAGGAGAAGTCACCAAGGGGGAAGAAAGGAGGAGACAGTTTGCAGGTACATGACCACTTGCTCAAAATGTGTATTTCTTCCCCCATAAGCTTTCTGCCAAAAAAGGCTGCAGGTTTGGAGAATTCCAGCTTTGCCTTGTAAGTGATGTGGCTCTGAGCAGCGGCTGTATTACTAGTTCTCTTATCTCGTGCAAGCCTCAGATAAGGAAGGAGAGAGGGAAGAGGAGGGAAAACCCCTGCCCAGAACCTGGAGCTACGGCTCTAAGATGCAGATAAACAAGGGCAACAATTTAGACACGTGAAGTGCTAGGGACAAGGAGCGCCAGTGAGTCAAAGTCCTGAATCTGATTCAGCACAGATTGGAAAGCACAGGGTAAGAAACCAAACAGTCTTGGAAAAGCCGTGCTTGGATGAAAAGAAAATGCAGCAGGTACATGGTGGAACGTAATTCTTTAGCACAAGGAAATCTGATTAGGGGGAGCAGACTTTTCCTGGGGTGTTGGTCAAATTACTTTGAAGTAAGTTGGGCTAGTGAAACACAGTGTAGTTCACTCAGATAATTCGATTTCCCATTTTCCCATCAGCACATGCTACACTTTGTTAGAATGGCCTGTAACTCAGGAAACACATAAGGTTGCGGTCCTGGGACGATGTACATTCACGGACTGACTGCAACTTACCTGCCTCCCCAATTAAAATGTGAGTTCCGGGACAATTCCCCTTCATGCCTGCATTCCCACTGATGAGTGTAATCTCTGGCACATGGTGGTTACTTTTTCATTATCTTATTTAACTAAAACAATGTTAAAAAATGGACTTGCAAAATGACTATTTCCCCCTTTCAAATAAGAATTAATGGCTAACAAGCCTTACCATAGAATAAAATGTTCCCTGCATAGGTGTGCAAACAAGAAGATCATTTTGAGCAGAAACCACCCCTGATTTGTGCCTTGTGCACCTGTGCAGAGCACGGTTCACACAGTGGTGTGAATGGCACCCCCTGGAGTTGTTGCAAGGAATCAACTGTACAACCAAACAGGATTTTGAAAAATTCAAAAACAGGTTTTTGAAAAATTCTCTGAAGACTAGTAAAACTGGTGTGGGGGGCACATTACCTCTCTTTTCAGGAGCAGGACAGAAGTTTGTATTACAGGCTCGCAGCACTGGAGGTTTCTGATGGAGCAGACAGCCTGAGGAAGGCCGGCCCTGCTGAACACAGTGGACTGAGCGGGTCTGGACACCCCCTCCGCAGGTCACCGTGCACTGCAGAAAAGGGAAAGAGCTAAGAGTCAGCAACACTCAACTGGAGGTTGTCCTTTTGGAGGTCAGTGATGTCATACAGAAGGGATCTCCAGGCTTCATGCCATGACCCGGGTGCCCTGTTGATGAAGCAGGGATTGGCCAGAGCCCGGCATGTGTGCTCACGTCCACAGTCTAATACACAACAGCCATGTGATCTGATTAGAAGGGGGTCTTAGGTGAATGCTATCTATCTCGCCCCAGAGAGAGTGTCTCCATTTCAGTGAACTCATAAAGAAGAGAGCTTCCAGAAATACAGAAGCTGCCATAAGGACGCCAAACAAATCATCACAGTATTTAAAGAATTCCAGATAATCTCTGCAGATGCAGTTGTGGGGGGCGGGGGATGCTTCAGAATTAGGGCAGGGAAGAAATAATACTTCCGAGACAGCTTTGGAATCCCACCCTCGGTGCCTGGCCAAATTCTGAGTTAAATTCTGAGTTGGCACAGTGGGTGTGGTGCTTCCTAGAAGTCAATGATTTCGCTGTTCAATCAAAAAAAAAAAAAATAGATGACTAACAAGGACTATCAACTGTATTTTTTCCAGACACATAAAGATATTTCATAACAAAAGAATAAATGAAATATCAGGAAAAAAAGCCCTTTACATTGATTTTTTGTTTTGCTTTTAAAAATTCACCACATAATTCTTATTTTTCTTATTGCAGATAGGTGAAGTGTTCATCTTAGACAAGCATCATTATATGGACTGGTATTTGGGAGGAAAAAATATGCGGGGATGGAAAACACATGAGTTTTGGATTTAATGCCAAGAACTACAGGTATTAGGGCTGTAGGACTGTTATCATCTAAACCAGGAATTGGCAAACTTTTTCTGTAAAGGGCAAGATAGTAAATATTTTCACGTTTGTGGGCCATGTATGTTTATTGCAACCACTCAAGTCTGCCTTTTGAAGCACAGAAGCAGCCCTGGACATATGTAGACCAAAGAGCATGGCTCTGTTTTAATAAAACTTTATTTACAAAAAAATAGGCGGGACTTGGGGGGCGCAAATTTGGCCTGCTGGCAATTGTTTGCTGATACCTGATCTAAATAGTCTTAAAATGAAGCAATTTCCAAAACTCTTAAAAAAAGACTGATAAAATTTGAAAAAGAAGTCCATAGTGATGTAAATAGCATGTAGCCAATTAGAGATACACAATCACACTAGTTTCCTTTGCTTTTCCTCATGGTTTAGTTCTCAGATCCTCCCCAATACACACAGGCACACGCATGATATATATACATGTGTATGTCGGTGTACTTACAAATACATAGTAGGCACGCATCGGTGTATACAGACACATAAATACACACGTTCTACATTGTGTGTATGTACGTGTACTGACGTGGACACAAATCTACAGAGCTACATTTGTGCTTGCACATGCCCCCACCCAGCCCCTGTGTTTAATGATGGGGTGGGCAGTGAGTTCTGACATCTGCTGGTTGGAAAGGACCACAACACAACTTCTCTCTCAGACTTTGCTTCACACACCAACCCAGCCAAATCAGAACCGAACCAGTGAAACCAAAATTTTGCCCAAGTCTTCTGAGAAAAAGGGTGCCGCAAACACCTAGTGGGTTTAAGAGCTGGTGGTGGGGGGGTCCTTACCTGAAGTGACCAACTCTGAGCTTTCCCTGCTTCCTCTACGAAATAGGGACAAAAGTACCCACGAACAAGGCAGTTTCAACAAATGCATTATTACATCATTCAGCAACATGACATAAAAACCACAGGAGTCAAGACTATGAGCAATGTTGGTAAAATACAAGACTCTCGTGGGGATTTTGAGAGCAGAAGCAAGAGTGAATATTTGGTACCATGTGACCAGCCTGGTCTAAGTGCTTTATATTATCTTAGGTGCTCATGAAAAAAAAAATCAGCTCTTTGAGACCTTATCATCCTGATTTTCTAGCTGTAAAAGCTGAAGCTCACAGATGACGGAAGCGGCCCAGGACCACACAGGTGGTGGAGCTGGCCAAAGATCGCAAGTCGTTGGGCCTTCCGGACCTGAGCTTCCGGTCTTTCCATTTGGACGGGTCCCCCACAGCAGGCGCTGGTGGGCTGCCCCCGTCCTGAGAATCTCACAGAAATCTGAGGGTGCTCACCTGTTGCCATGGTGATGGATACCATCCCGCTGCCACGCTGAAGCCCGGACGGGCGGGACAAGCCCCTCGCTGGCAGGTTTCTTCCAACTCCAGGTTTGGTTTCTTAATATTGCGGCACCTTCGCTCCGGGAAAGTGATGAGCTTTCCCTGGAAGGGTTTCTCGCTGCATTTCATCTCCCTCTTCCTCACACCCAAACCGCAGGTCATTGAACACTAGGAGCCAAGAAGGGGGGCGTTAGGCGTGCAGAGCTCCACAGTCAAGTCTGCTGAGCAGATGCACCATCCAAGTGAAATTCTCGGAATGGGATCATTGCAGGTGAACCACAGGTACTCAAGAATCCTAAAGACAAGGCAACCATGTCCCTCATGCTACTGCGAAGAAACCAAAGGCTGGAGAATTTGATTAACTGTCCCAGCATCTCAGAGCTTGTCAGCACCATGAAATGAGGCAAAATGAGGCGCTGTCCAGCAGTGAGGCTCTGCTGGGGTAAGCAGCTAGCTCAAGGTCACACCCCGAGTGAATAATGGAGGTAAATCTGATTCACCTGTGCATTTAGCCATTAGGCTATAACATCTCAAAGAAAATGGTTGGGAAGAGAGGTGGATGCATTGCTATGTGGGTTACTTATCATTTAGATGGAATAAAAGGACACGGATGGCCAGACCCAGGGGCTGCTGGGCTAGAAGCCCTGCCTCCCCTGCACCGTACCGTCCCCACTATTGACCTGTTTCTGCGTGCCGGCCTCTGTCTTCCTCCCAGCACTACAATCTCCTCCAGAGCAGAGAACCCTTCCCATCAGTGACTGGGACAGACTTCAGGCTGGGCTCCTTTTCTCACATTTCCTCTGGCTGTGCATGCACCCGAGTTTCCCAAGCCAGAAATCCAGGAGACATCTTTACGGGTCCCTCTCCCCTCCACCCACATATGCCCAAAGGTGACAATGGCCCCCTTAGGAACTCAAGAAGATTCTGCTTCTTTCCACCCCTGGAACACTCCTCTTTTGTTCCAATCACAGCATCTCCCAGTGGGCAAGCCCTGCCTGTCTGGGGGGCTGCCTGCTTTACGGTGGATTGTTCTAGGTGCTAAGTGGCCCCAACACAGGGGCCCTGATGAAGTTTTTGGTTTCTACCACCCCGTCACCCCACTGTATTGGTTGTGTTCACCTTCTTTCCCCTCGCCCTCCTTCCGTCTGAAACAACCTTCCCCCAACCCCACCCTTGCCCAATTCTTGCCCATCCTTCAGACTCACACTCCCTGGAAAGTCTCTCCTGACAAAGACTCCCCCTGGTGGTAGGGCTGGGGGACCCTGAGCTCTACTCATGGCATTACAGACCCCCCACTGCAACACTCTGCACCCCCTACCCGTGCTGCCATGCGCACGCACGGGGTGGAGTTGTGCACCTTCACATCCAGGCACGGGCCCGCTCAGTGCGATGGGTGCTTCGTCAAGGTTTGATGAAGAGTTCGGAGGGAAGGAAAGATAATTAGTAGGCGCCTGCTCTGTGTGTGGAACAAGGAGGAGGTGTGAGCCTCTGGGGGCTGGTGGGTGACCTGAGCATTCAAACACACAAGCCAGCAGTACAAACTTGCAACTCCTACCTCACTCCAGGAAGACACAACCCACTGCAGCCGGGTGTTTTTGGGGCATCGTCCTAGCACACAGCCCTCCTGGGACTCTGGCCTCGGGATGCTGGAGCACAGGGTCTCTGGGACATTCTCTGCCGTGGGGGAGCTTTTGCACAGGACTTCACGCTTCCTCACCCCTCGCCCACAGCTCTTGGAACACTGGAAATGGAGGGGGGGAGAAAGTCATGTGCATGCTAGTTTCAAATGATTTTCTTCAGGTGAATGCTGAAAACTTATTAATGAGGTAGTCAACAAACTATATTTAAGCTTTAAAACCAAATGCCCAGTAAAATCCCTTACACTCAGTAGGAGAAATCTTTCCTCTCTCTAGAGGCCTTAAATGCAGGTTAGCATTTCACCTTCAACATCTCAATGCCCAAGGGCTGCTGGTTGCCCAGGTCCGAAGATGAGGTTCTCTCTCCACAGCACCCATGATTACTGGGAGAATGGTACAGGGCCTGCTTTTTGGGTGTAACGGTGGCTTGCTCTCTGACACGAGCCTGAATTGGTCTGGGCACTTGGCTAAGGAGGATTATTGTGCATCTGACAGGAAGTATAATAGAAATAGATGCACACATAAAATAGCAAGAGACCGTGACATTGATAAAAATGGGTGCAGGGTGTCCAATTCTTGTTCCTACCCATCTGCTGCCTGGGGGGTGGGCTCTGTGCTAACTATAGGGGAAGAAAGAAAGAAGTACTCGGTGAATGTCTGTAAATGAACCTGCTTGATGGGCCACTCCTGCAGTCTTACTTTCTTGCCCTTCCCAAGAACTCCGCGAAACAGATTGGGGGCGGGGCAGGGAGAGGAGCGTCTCCTTGCTTTCAGATGAGTAGTTAAAAACTTGTCAGGTAGGAAGAAAAGGGGAGTATGGCAGAGGGGGAGACGAACCATGAGAGATGATGGACTCTGAAAAACAAACTGAGGGTTCTAGAGGGGAGGGGGGGAGGGGGATGGGTTATCCTGGTGATGGGTATTGAGGATGGCACGTTCTGCATGGAGCACTGGGTGTTATGAACAAACAATGAATCATGGAACACTGCACCAAAAACTAATGATGTAATATATGGTGATTAACATAACAATAAAAAATTAAAAAAAAAAAACTTGTCAGGTAGCTTGGAAGCTGTAGGCTCCCGGTCTGGATCTGCCCTCAAGGGACACGTCCCCTCCCCGGCCTTGGTTTCTGAGCAGACGAGAGCCTTATGAGAGGTGCCCCTCTTGCCTTGGCTCTTTGTCAACATGCAAACATCTGGGCACAATTCCAAGCCTCCTCCAAGGATCAACATGACTTCTGGCTCTTCACATCCTTAAGGGAGAGGGATGATGGGGATGATATTATCATAATCTGCAAACCACAGCAGCAGAGAACATTCATGTAATGCCTCCCATGTGATGAGGCATGCATGCTGACTTGTATCCACAGCCTTCTACCAACGCTCTGAGACCACTGCTACTGTCCAGTTCTCCAGAAGGGCCATCTGAGACTCGGAGCTTAGAGAATGTAACCAAGATCAAACAGACGTTACGTAGTGAAGATGGGCGGACAAGTGTGTCTGGTATCAGGTGGGGAGAGGTACCGCTAAAGCATACCATCATTCATTCACATTCAAAATTTCCAAATGGTTGACCCTTCTTCAGTAGAATTCTTATTTTATGTTTTCCTGGTTTTTCCCCCCGTTTTTTAAATTATTATTTAAGAATGATGAGTCATTATAAAATTGCTTCCCAGAGGGTTTCAGAGACATGGTCTCCAAGGGAAGAATAGGTTGAGGTAACAAAGTTTGAGGGACTCTTTTCCAATTTGTCAGGAAGATGTTCCCAAAAGGACACATTTGGTCTTAGTAAACAATGAAACAAAAAACCAAGGACATAAAATACTCTCTTAAAATATTTCCATGTCAAATTTGGGGCAAACTCTGAACCAAAGCTCCTTTTCATGAGGTCACATTTGGAACTGCTCGGCCCCCCAAATCTTTTCCCCATGCCTACCACACACATTTGGCTAAAACAGCCCTTTGAATTTTCCTCTTGTAAAGTGTACCTCCTTACTTGCAGAAAAAGAGACCGGACATAATACCATATCCTATTTAGATTGACCTTCTGCTATAAATTATGTTCCTTCATTTTAAAGCATACCAATGCATGTCAAAGATACTCTTTCCCACTGCTAGCTCCTTATTCCCCTACCAGAGTTGTAACATTAAAAAAAAAAAAAAAACAACTCATGTCCTATAATTTAAAAAAAAGCTTTTATCTGAACTCCACTGGGGATGTGGCAGTACACTGCGATCCTTAATCAGAAATCAATGCTCCAGGATAATGTCCCCTAAAGGAAAGCATGGCAGAAATGTGATCGCGGACTTCTCCCTGGCTTCACAGCTCAGGTGATGGAACCCCTGCCTCTTTTTGATGATTCCATGAAACTGGCTTGACCTCCGTGGTTTAGCAGAGGCTGCGCTACCACAGAGCAGAATTCTCACCGTCAGCACGTCTTGGACCAGATAAATCTCTGTTTCAGGGAGCCGCCCCTGACACTGTAGGATGTTTATCTCTACCCAACAGATGCCCATAGCATCATTCCTCCATGTTGGGACAGTGAAAAATGCTTCCAGACACCACCTGAGAGGACCTTTGACAAACCCAGCCCCCGCTGAGCACCTCAGGGCTGTGAATGGCGGGTAGGTCTGTGCCTCTTCTGACTTTATAACTTTCTACCTTTCACTGGGAGTTTGTGATGATAGGAAACTTTATACCCGACTCCCCTCTGGATCCCTCCAACACCACGGCTCTTTCCCCTGAAGCAAGAGTTGAATATCCTTCCTACGCCACTTTTTGTATTTGTGTTTTCTATTTGCTTTAGAGAATTCAGTAGCCCTTTCGTCTGCCAATCCACTGACACTCAAATCCTTCCTAGCTGGGCTCGTGAATCTAGCCTCAATGGCCCCCAAACTCTACTTTCTAGACTTCAAAGGAAGACTCTGAGCTGTGATGCAGGGGTTTCCAATTTGCAGGTTGCATAAAAATCACAAAAATTACAAATTAAAATGCCTCGTCACATTAACTCAGTGTGATTCCCGGGAAAGCATCAATAGCTGAGTGCCTCATGGAGAGCAAGGACACCACCCGTTTTTGCCACCGTCTTTGTCCAGAAGGAACAAGGCTCATGACTCCAAGTCTTGCCCAGTTACCTGAGACCAGGGTCCAAGGCTCCATTCCGGTGGGCAGGCATGGCTGTTGCAGGCTTGCACCTGTGTGGGTGTGCTCACTGGGCAGAGAGAATGCAACACCGCTTCCTCCTTCTGGAAGGGCTTCTTCTGGACACACTGGATCTTCCTGCTCTGCTGGCCCCCCGCACACGACCGGCTGCACGCACTCCATTCGCCCGGCTTCCAGCTTGCAGTGAAAAACCAGAATTACTTCCAGTGAGGCTGAGGATTTGCATCATCCCTTCCAAAGCAGTTACTGTATAAGCTTTAAGCACCTGATGAAAGCCTTGTATTGATTTTAGAACCAATAAGGGCGACTCCTAGCAACTATTTGTCTATGGGTTTCAAAGCCTATGTGAATGGGGTCCAGTGCGAGGGAGTCACATTTAATCAGCACACAGTTCTGGGCAAAAACACATTCCTGCTCTCTGCAAGGGAAGAAATATGTGCCATTTGGAAACCTGAGCGATTCATTCATTTGGCCAAATCTACTGGGATCTTCGTTTTGTGCCATGGACTCTCCTAGGCATCGGGGTTGGAAAAATGGACGAGGCAATGTTCTTTCCATTAAGGAGCCTACAACACAGTGATGAGGTGGATATGTGAACAAATAAGGACAATACTATGGGATGATTGCTATAATAGATGTTAATACAAAGTACGGTGATGAGACTGAGGGAAGAATGATCAATGGGAGAGGAGGGGGGTGCACACGCATCACACATGCCTGCAGGAGGGAATGGCCCCTGCAGCAGTGGTCTTACAGAAACTATTTCTAAGGAGGCAGTTCCCCCAACTATTCTGGTTATTCTTCAACTTCATGGATGAATTAGAGATACAACCTCACATTCTTTATGGAAGGATTGCCAGACCACATTTTTCAAGGTGTTCTGAGACTTGGTGGGCATGTGAATGAACCTACTAATCCTTTCCAACGACTGCGTTTGACCAACTGATAACCTAGGATTGGAAGGCCTGGCATAAAGATCCCCCAGAGATGACCTTACGCGTTTCAGTCGTAGGAGCAATGTCTAAGACTGGTTTACCAGTAGTCTAAATCTCATTTCAAGAAATAAGACCTGAGATCAAATACATTTTTTGTTTTACGTTTGCATTTCTGCCACCTTTACCAGTCCTGTAATTTTCTCCCCTGGTTTCCCCCACCAGCCTGATGTGTGAAGTTAAAAACCTTTCCTTTCGTCCAGAGAACGTGGCACATGAGTTCTAGATGATGTTGTTCTAAAACACTGCATAATTCATATTCTTTTAAAGAAAAAGAATATAAAATAGAATAATTCCTTATTTGTGTAATTATTTGTGTCTTGTAAGATGTAAAGGAAACATATTTATGAGATGATTAATTTCACCATTTTCCTATAAAGATGGCATTTTGTCTAACCAATTCATTCAACAAATATGTTGAATCTGTTAAAGTACAGAAAGAGCACACCAGGTAGCCCTTTTGCATGCCAGGCACGGTTCTGCATCCTTGGGCTCCAGGCTTACTCCCCATCTGTCCTCAGGCCCTAGCAACCCCACCTCAGAGCCCAGCTCCTACGCTGTCCATCTCCAGCCCCCTGCTTTTTTGCACATGCCCTCTTCATAGCACGCATCTCACCACCTCTCAATTACCTCCTTACACACCCCTCTTTTCCCCTTGATTGTGAGTTCACTGGTGGCACGAAGTACAAGTTCTCTGGATCCACACTGTCAGCCCAAGGCTGGCATCCAGTAGGTGCATACAACATGCTTGTTGCATGGGAAGATAACGGAATTAGATGGGATGGACTCCCTTGTCCTTCTAACTCGAATAACCTAAGGCCTTATTTCCAGTATATGTCCCTGAAGGTCCCATTATTCCAACAGAAAATACAAAGATATAAATGATAAGGTGGAGAAGAAAGGAAGGGAGCAACAGATCCTGCCTCTTCCACCCCTCCAACCCTGCGGTCATTGTGAGGGCTGTTCTGTTTTTAAATAGCCAGTAACTGGTTACTGCACAGTATTATTTCCACACAGGGTCATCACAGAAGTTCTAGAAGTCAGGCACAAGCTAGGCTCTCTCCCTTTTCTTGGATGGACATATGAAGGGAGTCTGTTTCTTTGCTTGGCAGAAATAGCCAACAATGGGAAGGAGGCTTAAAATCACAAAACATCAGCTTGCCATTCAAGCGGACTCACAATTACACACACACACACACACACACACACACACACACACACACACACACCACCATCTAAAGAAGACATTACTCCACAAGCGTCAATAACACTGTCTGGTAATCATATCTTAGAGCCACTGGATATCTTTTAGAATCAGATATTTCTTAGCAAAATGGGAAAATCCATGGAAGCCCACCAAATTTCTTTCTACTCTTTGTGTTCAGGACACAGCTGGTTCCAGATTCTTGGAGACAAACGAGGCAGACAACAGGGCATACAGGATTGGTGAACAGCTGAAGCCCCAAACAATGAGGACAACTGCACTATTACAAGGAAAAAAAAGGCATGTATGTGTCTAAAAAGATGGTGCAATATAATTGCATCACCATAAAGCAAACACTACTTATTAAGATGATCTGAATCATTAGGGAACACAACACTGCTTTAGAAGGAACTCTGCCGATTCTCTATAAATACATCTGGCAGAAGATAAATCACACACAAGACTCCATTCGGCTGGGAAGATTACTTAAAATTAGCATTCAAACAATAGTGTGGCTAAAATCCATCCCCAAAACACACCCGCCGAGCTCCCCATAGAGTGCCATCATCAGAAGCGGATTACCACTTGGCCTCTACCTCTTGCTTTTCATTTTGTGTCTTGCTACTGTGTAATTTGCATTTGGGGTTTCATGGTCTGCATAGTCCTATGATTTTTAAATTCTTGGATGACTATATGAAAGTTAAGCACGCAACTACATGTAAATCTAACTAATATGGGATTTTGTATTATTTAAATATCTGTTTCATTTAGTTCAGAGGAGGCTCTATGTAACGATCAAAAAATAAAAAAAAAAAATTAAAAAAAAAAAGATACCTTCAAACCCCAAGGTTAGGTTTGCAATGCTGGAGTCAAATGAATGTCTAAAGCAAATCTGTGTTTTTCCAGTTATATATTTTAACCTCAATTGTCTTCTTTTCTCTGTTACTTTTTTTGGGCATTCTCTTTCTCTCTGGGTCACTTGTGAGCAGAAGCACCAGCAGTGGGTTTTAGTTTTCTCATATCAACAAGAAGAGCATGCAAGTACACCTATTACCAGAAAGACATTTCCAGATGACTTACTAAGCAGGGCAGGAGAAAGCATTGCATATTTTGGGTTCAGTTGCTGGCTTGGTTCTTGCATTGCAGAACGAGGAACTGACTTGAGCGTTTTGATCTCGTAAGCAAATGGCCTTTACACTTATGTAACCTAATAAAACATCAAAAGTTACAAAGTGAAAATTACAGATAACCAATTCAATTTCAGTTCCAAGCGCAGCTTCACTTACCAGGGTTCTGATGTCTTACCCAAGATACAGAATCTAAATACGGTGTTGAGAACACCTCCTATCTGCAACTAATTTGAATCCCATTTCCCCCCGAGATAATAGTTTTCATATCTTAACTTGAATGTGTAGCTTCTTAGTTTTCAAGACCACTACGGATTCTTGAACCATGAAGTGATAAATAGAACCTTTTGAAAACAGGGTGGCTATAGAGGGGAACATCCCACAAACTTGAACTCACATTGCATCCATCTATTGGAAAATGTTCTTCAAAGCAAAACCTTTGGTAAATTATGTGTGGAAACTCTAATATCCTACTTTTCCATGAAGCATCTTCTACTTCCATAAGAAACAGATATAAACAAAAAGCTGAACTCTCTGAATAGGGATTCATATCTGTCAGCTAGGACTCAGGGCTTTTGGTTTTTTGCTTTAGTGACACTTAATGCCTGGCTTGCAATGTTCGTCTCCGGACTTCTCATCAGAAGCACGTATTTTTTGTGTGTGTGAATAATTTTGTCTGTCCCCTCTCCAAATAGGAATGCTGCCGCCTCTGTGAATTCTGTTTCTTTATATTTACATGGTACTTTTCCTTAAAATGGAATCTGAGAAACAATGAAAAGTTACTCCTGTGATAATGATTAGGTGAAGGAGGTGTACCTGGAGGAGGCACTTACCAAACACTGGGATTCCCTAAAGTTAATCGTTTACTTCCATTTATTCATTTCGACTCTCCTTCTCATATGCCTTGGACACACTATGGTCTGGAAGTCACATGAAGGGACCGCTAAATCAAGGCAAGGGGAGGATCCCACAATGCACTTCTCCAGCATCCTCCCTTTGGCTGGACTCATTTGCCATAAATGGAAAATGGATTGAATCTCTTTCCTTCCCAAAGAACAGTGCTCTCCCTGGAATACCAGGAAGTTATTGCAGATGATCTCAAAAAGCATTTGATACATGAAAAACTGCTTGTAATTTAAGTGAAAAGGAGCATATTGTAAACATGTATCAATAGCATGGTTTCTGTGCAGTAAAAAAATAATATAAAATGATCTGTGTGGGCGTGTCTGAGCACATCTAATACACGTGTCTTTATATTTGCATAAGAAAGTGATAGAATGACACAGACAAAAGTATTAACATTGGCATGTGCTGATTAAAGGATTAGGGAAAATTATTTTTCTTCTGCATAGCATATTGCCTTTAAAATGTGTATTACAAAAAATGTATTACTTTTTTGGTAATTTTACATTTTCTTTAAGTTTAACTAACATACAGTGTTGTATTAGTTTCGGGCGTACAGTATAATAACTCAACAATGCTATGTGTTCCTAAGGGCTCAGCATGATACATGTGCTCTGAATCCCCTTTATTTGTTTCTATAAAAATGTATTACTTTTCAAGTATTTAGTTTTTCTCAAGTATTTAATATATTTAACAAAGAAGTATTCCCTTGTGTTTTGTTAATTAGCATGAACACCTGAAGAAGTCTTATAGACTGAAGAATTTCTTCGTTTTCGGTATTTCTGCCCTCTGTGTCTGGTTCAAGATGCCCCACTGTGCTTAGGGGGATGGACACAGTTGGGAAACCCACTGTCACCAGATGCTCTGATAATGAGAAAATGTGTGGCTGACCTCCGTGCTTCAGTTTTATGGATCCATTTATAGATTTTCATTCTTCTCATAGGGGCCAGGGTAACAAAGACTGACTTACACACAAATGTATGATATTTTTGGATCTCAATAAAATGCTTGCCTTCTACTCACTGAGAGGATAGTTGTTTTTCCCTCCCTTAGGAGGGTGATTTCTCAGATTTACCACACTTCCCTCCTGAGAGGGACTTTGCTGGCCTCACCCCTGAGGGGATGGAATGACACAATACCCGCATTTCAGACAGACATCTTACGTTTGCCTTGCGCCTTGTTCTCTCTGGTTTAGACCCTCCCTGCCTCAAGCCTCAGTGGGAGGTTCTTACCAACAGAAAAGTCAGGATAGGGAGAAACTAAACTGTAAGCTGAAAAGAAAAATATAAATAAGCAGGCATTTTGTCAGGGCGCCTGGGTGGCTCAGTTGTTTAAGCGACTGCCTTCGGCTCGGGTCATGATCCTGGAGTCCCGGGATCGAGTCCCACATCAGGCCCCACATCGAGCTCCCTGCTCGGCAGGGAGTCTGCTTCTCCCTCTGACTCTCCCCGCTCTCGTGCTCTGTATCGTTCTCTCTCTCAATAAATAAATAAAAATCTTTAAAAAAACACCCAGGTATTTGTCTATTTTGCCCCATAAATTCAGATAGATAACTTTTGAGTCCTGGTTATGAATGACTTGAAATTTCTGAGACTTGGTTCCTTTCTACATAGGAAAATCCTTAAAGAGGACAATAATATTTGCTTTTTACAGGGATGGTTCCCATAAAAGACAGTTCTTTTGTTGCTTATTTAAATCATACAACGTAAAGAGGTCTGAGATTGAAGAACCTGTTTTAAGAAGAGACTTGGAAGGTAGAATTGGAAAATCAACTTACCTCCACCACAAGAGACGGAGCACGGAGACTGCACTGTGGTCCAGGCATGGCTGTGCCTTTTTGAGGCTGGCTGAGTTCCATTCGTGACCTTGGGAAGTGCATACTTCCAAGCTATCCCCGGATTCTTGCCTTGCATCAGGACCTGGACAGCACAGGTACAGACCAGAGGGGAAGAGACAGGTCAGACCCTGGAATTCCAGAAATCTCACCGAACATTTTAAAGATATTTGTATGACATTTTGACCTTAAACTTGGCTCACGCCATTGTTCCCAAGTGTGTTTTATGTTGATTTCAAGTTTTCCCTTGATACTTTAAAATGTGTATTTCCATATCATCAAAGCTGTGATTTAGATGGATGCCAAATACGGAAACATGATAACTTTTGCTATAAGCCCACTACCCTCAACTCTATGTATATCCATTAATAAAGCAAAAAAAAAATTTTTTTTTTACAATATATTGAAGGCAATAAGGTAATATTATGAGGTCTCGACCTTCCCATTAAACTTGAAAGCCTAGCATGGTACTAACACAGTGGTGCCTCGCAGATAATGGTTGAAACTGAATCTACATATATATATTTTTTTCATTTTTCATTTATTTATTTATTTTATGTTAGTCACCATACATCATTAGTTTTTGATGTAGTGTTTCATGATTCATTGTTTGCGTATAACACCCAGTGCTCCATGCAATACGTGCCCTCCTTAATACCCATCACCAGGCTAACCCATCCCCCTACCCCCCTCCCCTCTAGAACCCTCAGTTTGTTTCTCAGAGTCCACAGTCTCTCATGGTTCATCTCCCCCTCCGATTCCCCCCCCTTCATTTTCCCCTCCTACTATCTTTTTTTTTTTTAACATATATTATTTGTTTCAGACGTACAGGTCTTTGATTCAACAGTCTCGCACAATTCACGGCGCTCACCATAGCACATACCCTCCCCAGTGTCTATCCCCCAGCCACCCCCTCCCTCCCACCCCCGACCACTCCAGCAACCCTCAGTTTGTTTCCTGAGATTAAGAACATGTATTTTTAAGATTTATACTGGGCCACAATTTACAATCCTTCTCCTGGGTGCCAATAGAAGCTGGGCACGAGGGAGGCGCTCCAAAAACCACAGAATACCCCGCTTGGAGTTACCTATCATCAATTTTAGAATCCAAGGAATTCCAGTAGGATTTCCAAAGAGAATGTGTCTGTCAGTTTTGGACCAGGATGAACAGATATGACAAAAAGATAGGACCAGAAGTCGGGGTTGCTAATGTGTGTACTGGAATGGATTGAATCTCCAAGGGACTTAGGACACATGAAAAGATGCTCAACATCACTGATCATCAAGGAAATACAAATCAAATTACAATGAGATACCACCTCACACCAGTCAGAATGGCTAAAATCAACAACACAAGAAACAACAGGTGTTGGCGAGGATGGGGAGAAAGGGAAAGGAGCCCTCCTGCACTGCTGGTGGGAAGGCAAGCTGGT